TTACCAGTTCTTGTTCCTGGGACTTTAACCTAAAGAGATTCTCAAGCCCCCAATGATTCCATGAACTATGTGAACTACTCTTCTAAATCCTTTTGTTCTAGTTAGAGTAGATTCTGTGGCCTGTTCTAGCTAACTGGCTAAGGGATACCCTGAGAGCTGATAAAGCATTATTTCTGGGTGTATCTGTGAGGGAATTTCTAGAAGAGACTGGCATTTGAATYAGAGGACTGAATAAGGAAGACCTACCCTCACCAATGTTGGGCATCTAATCTGTGGAGACTTGGGTAGAACAAAAAGGTAAGGGAAATGAGAATTCTTTTTTTTTTTCTGGAACTGGCACAAGTATCTTCTCCTGCCATTGGACATGAGAACACCAAGTTCCAGGTCTTTTGGACTGGAACTAAGAATGACACCTTTGGCTCCCCTAGTTCTTAGAAATTTTAGCCTGAAAATTAATTATAGYACCAGTGTCCCTAGATCTCCAGATTGCAGATGTGAGATTTCTTGGTCTCCAAAATTGTTTGAGCCAAATTCTATAATAAATCTCTTTTATATCAATCTGGATATCATATATATATATGTTATATAATATACATATATGCACATGTATATGTGTATACATATATATATATATTCCTGTATCTCTCAATATACATCTTATTGATTTTGTTTCTCTAGAGAATCCTAATTCAAATATATTAACCGTTTTCATTTTTATATTGAGAAATTACTATTTACAGATTGAAAGAAACAAAAGTTTCACAAAGAACTCATGAAATATTCTGACTGAAACCCACAAATGTTGAGACTTGTTCTGACCTCTTATGCTTGGGAGAACCTTTAACACAGGTTCTGCCTGCTTTAWCCATGTCAGTCTTTACTAATTATGCTCTGCTTCAGAGTTTGCAGTTATTACTGTAAAGCTTCATCTCTTTGAAATACTTTGTCTCAGCTTCATCTCTTAGAAAAGAAGGCAATTTCCTTTCAAAAGCATGGCTGTCCCGAATACCTCGGGTGTTGTTTTTCTCCTAGCTGGCACCAAAAGAGTCACAAAATGAGGTAGCTCATTTAAAATATTTTCCTCATGGTTGTTCTGTTCTCCCATTCAGGAAAAAGATTATTGGTTACCATGGCAATCAGCTTCCACAGCATTCCATTCTGAGTAACTGCACAGGTATAGCACAAGCTATACTCCACATTCTTTACTGTGGTTCTCTGCAGATCTGTATATTTTTCCATCCTGGTCTCTATAACTGCTGCTTAAAACAATCAACCAACTAACCAAACAACCTATGATTAAGCCAGATAATTTCTCAAAGACATTCTATTCTCTGAATATTAAAAAATTTACATATGGAGTTGCACAACAATTTCCTCTAATTTTGTTCTATTTAGGCCCTACCTAACAGTGCTTACCTGAAAACTTTTTGGCATTTTGTTTCACAAGCCTAGTATTATATTTGTATCTCTTTGACCATATTTGAAAAATGAGCAATGAACTTACAGTTAACATAAGAGTAGAAGAGAGTTCTAAATTCATTTCCCAAGCTTACAGCATAGTTTTCTATGGATAATTATCTAATTTCCCTTTCTTAACTACCATCAAACCACTCTGAAAAGTGCAGATACTCTTGGAAGAGTAAAAATTAAATCTTAAGTCACTGATTTGAAGACACCAAATACTTGTATTCCAATCCTTGAGACTGTTTCTTTTTAATTGGCACAGAGTCTCTTGAAGAGACTGTTTTAACCACCCTGTTTCTATAGAGAACATTATTGGTAATAATAAAAAATGGTTTTACACAGGACAAACACAATTTAATTGTGCCTTGGGTCTGCTAAACGTAGAATGATTTTAAGAGAGTCTACTGGATAAATTGTTCCCCTTATAACACTTTCAGTCTTTGTTATCATTACTTTTAATCTTTGCTGGTTATATAGTTTCTTCATAATTATGTACCATAGACTAGGAATCTTGAGACTTCTATTGTATGGACAGAGATCTTTTTACTTACTATTTCTATGATTTTATTTGAAGCAATAGTGCTATTTGGTAATTTAAAAAGAGGGAACTTGAATGAATGTGTTTCTATTATCTAATATTAGGCAATTAAAAAATTAAATTTGKCTTTAACTCTCTTTCTTGCAATTTTTTTTATTTCATGAATGCCTTTTCATTGAAAAAGACATATCTCATAACCAAATCTATGAACACCCCATTGAAGATTGCCATCTCCTATTAAGGGCATGGAAGTAAACTTGGTAACTAAAACAGATGCCTTCGCCCACAGATTCTAAAATCAGAGGGTATTCATAAACCGCCCCACAAATTTTCAGTCTAGTGGGAAACAGGAACTGTTAAAAATCAGAAATGCTACCAAAGTATTTTCTTCCTCTTCCGGTAAAAGAAAATATATTACTTTCTAGGAAGCTATTTTAAAAACAAAACAAAACAAACAAATAAAAAAACTCAAAGAAATCAGCATTGGGAATTCACGACTAAAATTTGGGTTACATTAGCTCATTCTGGAAGAAAAGGTACCTAGTTATAGATAGAAAACCATAGAAAGTTTCTCTGAGTCCTTTCAAAAAACTGTATTAGAATTGTTTCAAGGAGGAAGAAAAGGTATATTTATATTCTGAGAAGATATCCTTATATTATATAAAATGTTTCTATGTTAGGGTATATGGACATCTATGTACTTCCTGACATAATATTCCCACACAACTGATAAGAAAAATTGACCAATTACAGGTAGAATTTTCTAGATTAAGAGGCTGAAGTAATCATACAAACTTTGGGTAATTATATTTTAGTATACCCTAAGATTTATGTAGAAAAAGGTTGCTCTCAACTTTGTTGACAAAAGACAGCTGAGAAGTATTAACATAGCTGTGAAAGGTAAAAACTAATGAAGGGTCAGTATTCTAAAGGCTTGAAGGCAGCTGACAAACTGTTTTGACAGTTGGGTAAAAATCAGGGAAAAAATTGTGAGCGGTAGTTGTGATGAAAGGGTATAATGAAGCGTTTGAAAATGGTAAAGTGAGAGCTTTAATTAATATGGAGGGAAGGATTTGGAAAGAAAATTATTCAGATAGGAAATAGTTCATAATTTTTTTTTTTGGTACCAGTAATTGAACGCAGAGGTACTCGACCACTGAGCCATATCCCCAGCCCTATTTTGTATTTTATTTAGAGACAGGGTCTCACTGAATTGCTTAGTGGCTCATTTTTTGCTAAGGCTGGCTTTRAACTTTCGATCCTCCTGTCCCAGCCTCCCAAACTGCTGGGATTACAGTAGTTTATAATTTTTGTAAAGTAATAACACAATTTGCATTTTAATTTGCAGCGGGCCAGGAATGACACTATTTGAAGAATGGCAGTTTTGTTATTTTATACATAAGAAACTCCATTTGTCTGAAATATACTAGTGTAAGTTTCCATTAGTATGATAACAACATATATTAGACAAATTGACAAGCAGGGATTGCTTTTCATTAACCTTTCATTATAACCCTTAAAAAAAAAAACTCACTACCTTTACTATTTTAAACTTTAAGGAAGATCATGATTTTATGTAAAGATAACCAGGATGTTTGAATCAGTAGCAGATCGGCCCTAACTTTTTGTTGGTGTCCTTTAATCTTGGGCTTCTAACTTGAGCAAGAAAATGTAAATGCAGAAAGCTGAAAACCAAGGTTCCTTAATTAGGAATCATGTGAGTTACTTAACATTAAAAAAACACATTTTTTAAAGAAACCACACAGTATATATATTCTATAGTTTTGGCTTTTATTTTTTTGTATTGCATTGATATTAATTTTTAACTCTCCTAACTATCATAGTTTGGTAATCTTGCGTCCTGGATATTCCAGATCACTTCAGATTTTGAATATTTTATTTAATGTCAAATGGTGTGTCCAGATTTGGGTTTACAAAACATGGCCAATGAATTTACAGACTAACCCTGAAACAGTAATGGAATTTGGTAGTATGTAGTAATTCTATTTCTGAGTCATGATTATCAAATTTAATCAAATAAAATCAGTGGTCATTATTTGAATCTAACAATAAGCTGCCTTAAAACAATGAAGTTGTTTAAAAATTTACGGCAATTTACAATTTGAAAGGCACTCATAATGTGATTATTTTATACACTCCCATGTAGCTGTAAATCTAAATGGCTATTCATTCTTACCATATAGGAAATGAAAAACAACATACTTGAGATATTATACTAATGTATTTTACTAAGAAACTAAGAAAGACCAAAACAATGTAAGTGTGTGTTAATAAAAAGGATTTGGTATTGAATGCTTATTCTTAATAAAGAGCAACTAAGAGGGTTCACTGACATTTGCAGTGTATATGAGGGTAATTATCTGAGTGAACTAAGTTTCATTTGAATAAATTTGATTAATTATTCCATGCCAAACCACTGCTTTCTGCAAATGAAAACATTTAAACAACGTGATGTCCTTCCTCTCCTCTAATTATTATCCTTTATAACATTATAATGTTTGTTCATGGCTCCACTCTGTCCATAATTTAGGTAACCACTAAGGGGAGGGGGTGCGGTTAAAAGTTGACTACGTCCAGAATGATACTCAAAACCTCTTTGGAAAATTTAAGTGATTTTCCCCCAACACTCTTGGCAGAGTATCAATCACTAGCGATCAGGCTCTTCCTCCCACATTCCCCTGCTGGTTGGGACAAGAGAAGCCCGGGAATGCTGCAGCAACAGAGGTGGGAGTGGGAGATAGGATATTACCCGGTTGACACTTCTGCACTGTTGTTATGAATGATTCACTTGCGTTTGGCACATTTATTGCAAGGAAATCTCCTCCCGCCGTTTCCTTCTTCGAGCTCTTCTTGGGCTGTCTCCTGTGCTTTGGCCTTTAAGGAGAAGCGAGAGCAGGTGGGCACAGAGGAGCTCGCCGAATCCTCCTCCTCCTGCTCCTTCCCTAATTTAGCAGTACTTCCGGCCGCGTGACATCATCCCCCGCACCCCGGTGACGAGAGCGGCGGGTGACGTGTGTGCGGAGAAGAGCGCGCTGACGTTGCTATTTAAAGGTCCTCCTGCAGGGAGGATGGAGACACAGCGCGAGCACCTGGTGTGGGGCGCGGAGGAGGCTCTGGCGGCAGGGAGCCGGGCCAGGAAACAGCGGAGGAGCAGAGCCCAAGGCCCGCCCGCCGCGGGCCACTAGGGGAGGGGGGAAGGAAGGAAGGACGGACTGACGGACCTGACAGCTGGCCAAGCTCCCCACGAGGGCCAGCTCGGTCCCTGGCCACCAGCCTTCCCTGCCGCCTCGTGATTCTGCTGTCTCCCGCTTCCCTGAGGGCCCGGCGGCCCTCGGGACCGGTCCGCGCTCACCCCTCCGCCGCGGCGGCCTCTCCCGCCCCTCCCGCGAGCAGGAGGAGGGACCGAGCTCGCCCCTCGTTCTCCCCGCCCCCCGCAGCCCGCTGTGCTGCCGCGCTCGCCTCACGCCGGCGGCGCTGATCGGGGAAGCGGCGCCCTCCGTTCTGCACTTGGGCCGGTGGAGGCGGAGGCAGCGGTGGCTTCAGGCCGCCGAGGCTGGCACCGCTCTGCCCAGCGGGAGCCGGAGACCGGTGGAGGCGGGCGGTGATGGAAGTGTGAAGAGACAGCGGCGGGGCCCGGGGAATGTGAGGCGGCGCGTGGCGGCGGCGCGGAGCGTGAGAGACGAGCAGAGGTGGGGGCGCTGGAGTGGCGGCTCTCCCACAGCTTCGAGCCCCGTTCCTCAGCCCTCAACGCGGCGTTAGCTTCCCGCCTCAGCTGGGGCGGGTGCCCGTCGACTCTTCAGCCCCTCCACCGCCGCCTCTCGGCCGCCCCGGAGCTGGGGGCCGGGTGCCGGGGGAAAGCGTGGAGCTTGGCTCTCTGATTCATTCATTCCCCACCGACGGGAGCTCCAGACCCGCTGTGCCCAGAAGAGAAGAGCGAAGAGGGGGCAGCCTCGAATGAAGAGCCGGGCGCGAGCCGGGCTCCATTGTGCTCGGCGGCGGGGGGCGGGAAGGGGCTGAGGGAGGTGGGATCGGGCCCCCTCCCCCTGCTCCCCGGCGTGCGCTGCGCCCCCAGCCTGCTGCCTGCCTGGAAATGGCTCCGTTTATTCTCCTCGGGAGAATGAATCGATCCTGCCCAGCCTTCTCTTCCTCCTCACCACCTCCTTTCTGCTTCGAATCTTAGGAGGGGAAAATTAAAAAGACAGATTCCAATGTGGAGTGCCGTGCACGTCGCGAGCTGCTGGGTTTGCACTTCCAGGGGATTTTTCTATATAGTTTTTTCTAATGTGAGCGCAGGGAAGCAGTGGCATTACTGCTTTTAGGATTTTTTATTAAAGTGCACGTCGCGTTGGGTTGCACAGTACACCCCCAGGGACCTGGTGTGGTGGAGAAATTTGAACCCACAGCCTTAGCACCGAAAAGGCCGAGTTACCAGGTTCTCCCTGAGTGTCGTGGAGGACATGAGCGAAATGACCAGCGAACTCATTTTTTATAGGACTCGGTGAAGCTGGTTTCTGCGTTTTCCTACATGTACACTCATTTTGTGGAATAGAGTTGACCGCGATCTCCTCCACGCAGCATTTTAACTCTTAATAAGCAAATGCCACCTCTGTTTGAACGTTTTGGTATTGACGAGAGAAATCATTTTACCTAAGAGAACTAATTGAATTATCGACATCATTGAAATACCTCCGGAAAAGAATCTCGGGGGGGAGGTGGAAAGCAACTGCGAAATAGCAGACGGAGAAATTCCTTTGGAAGTTATTCCGTAGCATAAGAGCAGAAACTTCAGAACAAGTTTTCATTGGGCAAAATGGGGTAAGGATTTTTGTGCTTATCACAGTTTGGAATCTATTTATGTATGTGTGTTATTGAGCGGTGGTGGTGACTGTTTTGTTTGTTGTTTTCAAGCAAATCTGCCCTTTTGCTAAGCTAGTCCTACTTTAAAATAGAGGTGTGGTAACCTTTTAACAAGTTATTTTTGTATTTTTATAGCGTGGCACCAGAGGTCAGAATTAAGGAACATGCACATTTGTAACTTAAATATTCCTAATAAGATTATAATTACAAACAATATATTCTGTCAAATAACCGCTTCATTGATCAAACTGCTGCATCAGTTCGTTACCAAAATCATGTCATCTTAGGTTTTGTTGACGGTTATCTTTCAAGGAGATGTACAGCCATTCTTTTCAGTACTTTGGCAATAATCGGTTACACAAAGGAACGATTGTAACGAATGGTTGGACCACAGTCCTTGAAAGTGATCCAGTGTAAATTGTTGCCCWCACAGTGCCCTCTGTTTTGTCCTTGAATCTCCAAAGCCAAAATGTATAGTTGATTTATTGGGCATTGAAACGAAAATCTGAAAGTCTCACTGATGCGGTCTCCACAGTGCGAGTCCACTGGGTAGATCTGAGCTGGAACAGGAAAAGCTTTTAGTGAAAGGCACTTTTTCGCTTTTAAGTTGAGACCTTCAGTTTGTGTTAACAATATCAGCTCTGCACTCTTTCGTACCTAAAGCCGGAGAAGAGTACACTTCTCAAACTTTTRGCTCCTCACACTGTAGCTTGATAAAATGCTAGTGACTACCCAATTTAGGCTGGAAGCCCATAGTATATTATTGCAGTAATGACCCACTCATGTCTTTGAGATCGCCAGTGCTTTCTGTTAAAGAAGAACTTCCAGAATTTTCATTTTTGTGGTTGAACAAACATATCTAAAGTGTAGTTGAGAGACAAGGTTTGAAATGGACTCAGATTCGTTTTGATGATGTAGAGGTGTGCACACTAATTTGGAGTAATTCAGTAGTACCTTTTTATGGGAGTTAGAATCTGAAGTTTATTAAACCCAAACAACTTTAAAAATTTAGAACATGTTGTAAGAGTTCTTCCTCAGGAATTAATGAGAAGGTGATAATTATTTTTAAGACTTAAATTATAAATTATGAGAATATATCTTGCATAATTTAGGGGTACTACTAAGAATAATTTAAATACCTTATTCTATTTTTAGTGCTGTTCTTAGTGCTTTATTGACCTAAGGCAAATTACCTCACCAGTATGGACTGTTCTCTTATCTCTTATCTGTAAAGCGAAGGAGATAGGTGACTTTTAAAGATTTTTCCACCCTGTAAAAATGAATTATTTTATTCCTCCTCCCATTTTAATGATCACTAGTGGTTTCTTGAAGTGTACCACTGAGATGGAGAAATTTTCTCCCCTCCAATCTGCCTAAGCACTTAAATTGGGAAATAATGGCATTTGAAAAGTGTTTGGCTGAATTGCACCCATTTTAAATGAGAGAAAATACTGAAAAATGCTAATATTCAAAGCCTTTGAAATATGGCTTCCCTTGAGCTTCTGCAGATCCTCTGTTTAAAACGTGGTGGAGTGTGAGCATGCTTGTGCACACACACATAAAATCAAGCAGCAGTTTTTCATGTGGAAGGCTGCACTCTCCAGATTGTAGAGTGGTAGTATCATGGGAGAAAAGCAGTTTTCCACAACCTTTAAAGGACAAGACTGCCCATTATTTTACTAAAGAAAGCAAGGATTGAACTATACTAAGGGGACTAGGTTTTAAGATATGACAGTAAACCCGTATTTGACACTAGTATAATTAAATTTGTTTATAAACAAGCTTGCCCTGTTTAAAGTAAAATTTTAAAGGTGCTGTTAAAAAGGAATGAGCATTTGTGGCATTATTTTTCCAAACTATATTTGGAAATATGACCCTTTCTCATTTAAGAGTGACTTGTTTTATTTGAGTTGTTGAAAGAGGTGGAAATAGAAGAGGACAGCATACAGCAAAAGCATTTGCAGAAGTTTCTACACTTTTTAGGTTCATATACCTAACAAATGTTTGTGGAATAAAAAAGTCACCTGGGGGCTGGGGATATGGCTCAAGCGGTAGCGCGCTCGCCTTGCATGCGTGCGACCCGGGTTCGATCCTCAGCACCACATACCAACAAAGATGTTGTGTCTGCCGAGAACTAAAAAATAAATGTTAAAAAAATTAAAAAAAAAAAAAGTCACCTGGACCTACTTAAAAGGAAACAGGTTTAAATGGCCTTTAAGTTTTACCTGGACAATCTAAATTACCATACTCAGACAGCTTAATATTGTGAATGAAGAATTTGACATATTACAAATATATTTGTGATTAATGTTAGGTTAAAATATGATTTCTTTGCCTATACAGTTWTAAGTAGGAGCAAAATCTAAGCAAAGGAATTATTTTTAATGAGTGATTAATTTAGGCAGAAAAACATTAAGATTCCTGTAATCGTTTGTGAACTATGTGGAAAAGGCAAAGAACAGCTGAAACGGACAGTTGGCAGAGTCTGTCAAAGTATCTTGGATGTTGAGTAAACTTTTTAATTGCAGTGAAGACAGTTGAAGTAAAATATGTGCATCAGACTTCCCCCAATAAAGACATTTATGTATGAAAGAAAGGTCCATGAAAAGCTTAAAAGTCTCTGAGAGAGAGCCCTTATTAGGTTTGACACCCCCTCTCCACCGCCCCAAGTCATATCTCATAATGAGAGTGGTGAGTCAGTAGCTATTTCAGAACTATTAGAGTAGGCAATAGAAATCAAATAACTTCAACCAGTTATTTCATGCTACCTTTTGTTTTTACTTAGCTCATATTGGCAACCTAGTATTATTCCCCCTGTTAGCCTTGTTAGTCCCCCACCATAAGAGCTAGTTGTATTAAATAGGGTTCTCCCTTACTAATGAAGTTTAATTTTTTTTTTTTAAAGTTTCACCTGCCTATCCCAACCTTGAGTCTCTCCTTTCCCCCATCTCCACATAACTTTCTGCAGTATGGAAGTGGTGCTGCTACTTTGCGACAAGAACGGAGTCTTGTCTTTGTAAAAAGATAGGAAACTGACAGTATTTGCATAACTTGCCTGCCTGATCAGAGGTTCTGATCTTGGGGGTTGTAGCAAAAATGCMGAAATCTTGATCCACCTTTGCAGGATGAGTAAGCTTTGTTGCAAAGGCAACCATCCTGTCAATCTAAAAAACAAAACAGTTAAAATACCAGTCCTTAATTCTTTGTTTGTTCATTTTACCATCTTTCAACAAGTATTATATGAGGCAAATGCTGAGCTCAGTCGCTCAACTGAGACTAGTAAAATGTGCTCCTTCCCTCAAGGAGTTTATACTTTCAAAACTGGGAAGAAAGTAAGTTTAAAATAAAGTACAGTGGAATGTTGAGGAAGCTATAATCTTAGGCATTATAGAGGCACAAAATGTGTATGAGGGTTATTAAATGCTGCAGAAGGATAAAAAGGTTTTGTGGAATAGGTGATATTACATAATGAAAGGTGAATAACAGGTGGGCCGTGTGGACAAATGAAAGGGCATTCAAGGCAGAACAGTGWCGTCACCAAGAAGAGCAATTGCAAAAAACTTGGCATGGTCCTTCCTTCATTTGCTTGGCTTACCTTGGTAAGAGAGATTTAGAGCCTTATGCAGGGACCAAGTTAGCCTTGTAGACTGAAGGAAAGACTGGGTTGTGCTGGCTGGTATATTTCAAGCTTCCTTAAGGAATAAACCATTGGTAACATGCATTTTTTTTTAAACATTGTGACCTAATATGTTCACACATAATTAATAAAAATGGCAGAAAATAATACCCTACTTTGTGTGATTGGCTCTGGTAGTTTATATTCTATTCCATTCAATTTCATTTTTAAGAAGAAATGGCAGGATCCATGAAATTGATTTAACAACTGGCAGATTGAAAAACATTGCTCTTAGTGGTGGAACYGATATTGGGTTTTAAGCAAAGTGGTAACATGAAAGATCAGGGAAGTAGTATAAATAAAGYTTTAAAAATCATTTTAAAATTTGATATTGTATGTTGTCCTGTAAAACACCAAGCTAGAACAATGAACTCTGACTAAGTAGATAAAATGATTAGAAAGCTCTGGAAAGTTTCAAAGTGGAGAGGAAAGAAATGGTGATTGAGAGATGTGTACCTGGCTGAGTGGGTCTACTTTAGAATTAGGGTRTTTCAGCTACAATGGTAAAAATGTTGGAAACAGCATGGTATCTTCCTTTCAGAGGTACTTTCAGGTGGTCATGGAATAGTGAATTTGAGAATTAAGGGATCGATGAAAGAAATTGTCTTTATACATAGTTTATGGTTTGAAGTGATTGAATGGCTCAAATAAAAAAGATGGTAACATCTCAAAATGTTCATTCTCCCTACAGGCCTGTGATTTTTTTTTTTCCTCCCCCAGTCCATTGGTATTTAGTCGAAGGGCTTAAAAGTATTTACTTTTAGTTACTAAATTGATTTGTTATTTAAGATTAATCTAATTAACAGGTCAGAAGAGTAGGGAAATGAGTCCAAATATTTAATATTTTCTGATACARTTTTTTACAATATAAATTTTATTCAAATGTAATTTTTTAATGACCATTTTAAATAGCTTTAGTATAYCTTTACTAATTAGGAACTGTCTAGTTGAATGAAATATGCAATATTTTGTTTGTGTTGCTTTTTTGTAATACTTGTGAGACCTGTGGCTAATACAGTAGAAATTCTTGCAGTTTCTGAAATTCTTTGTGAAATGAGCAAGGTTTTCCTAGAGATCACAAAGACTTATAATTTTGAGGCATTATAAGTTTTAAAGTTCATTAAATATCTTCATCAAAAGAATGAATATATAATAAAGAATATTTAAATAGATTTTTTTTCATATCCAGAGTTGAACTCCGGAGTTTTTATCACTGAGCTGCATCCTCAGCTCTTTTTATTTATTTATTTTAATTTTGAGAGAGGGTCTCATTAAGTTGCTG